ATCTAACATGGTTGTTATTCATATTTATTTGCAGGTTCTTTATGTTGATAGGATGGTATTATTGTATCGAAGGAAAGTAGTAAGGAACTGGCCTGCTATAATTGGATGGACATCACAATTACTTAGGGAGAGAGAAATAGAAGAAATAAAAGCAGGCGGTTTTGGTCTCGGATATTTGGATGAGAAGATGCAGAAGAGGGGATTGACAGTAGAAGAAATGAGTGCTGATCAAGATAAGGTGCACCAATTAGAAGTGGAAGGTGCACAGAACGGTGAAACATCAAGAAGGGAAAACACACAAGAGGTAAACTAATAATTCATAGATGGCATTTTTTAAAAATGAATCTAATATGTGTTATAATGCAGGAGTTTCTGGAAAGATTTGCTGTGAAAACAAAGTTGTTAGCTACGACAACAATTGAAATAATGAATATGGTAGAAGAAGCTCCACAAGTGCTGCAAGGAAATGAGAACTTCAAGAAAATTGTGGAGGCTACTAATAAGCTACTTTGGGTAGCCCAAAAGCAAACACAAAATGCTGAAACAAATGCAGCAACACCGGAGCAGCAGTTTTATGATGAAGAGGTTGAAAAGTTTTGGTCAAGTCCAAGAAACATCCAAGCTTTGGTGCCGATGGAGTCTGCCTTTGTGAGAAGATCGCAATACATAAAGAAGATGGATGACAAGCCCAGCTTCAGTCTAGGACTGACTCAAGAAAATGGATATGAAGCTACGGGCAGCGGTGTTAACACGGTTGCGGAAGAGAATACAAGAGAGGCTGCTGTATTGGAGTTTCATCCATTTGAGAAAGAAATAAAGGTAATAATAGAGAGTGTGATAAAGTTTTTTTATATAATTTAATTATTAGTTAAATTATTGTGAAAAACACTGAAGTGATGTTTTATGTGCAACAAGAGATGAGTAAAGATGCAGTGGAGGTAGATAATAATGCAGACAATTTGCATGAAGCAGATATGGAGATTCATCCATTTGAGAAAGAAAGAGAGGTAATAATAGAAGAAATAAAGTTTTCTTTTATAAATTAATTAATAGTTGATTTATTGTGAAAAACACTGAAGTGATGTTTTATGTGCAGCAAGAGATGAGTAAAGATGCAGTCAAGGTGTATAATAATGGAGACAACTTGCATGAAGAAGAGGTAGAATTATTATGAGCAACATATTGAAAATGCGGTATGGTCATCTTACATTAAAATTGTGTCAATATAATTTGATGAAAATCACAGTATGTACAGGTATCAGATGCAATAGCAAAGGTGCAAGAAGAAAAGAGAATTCAAAGAGCAGCTGCAACATTGAAGTCACCCTACCTAAAAAGGCTTATCGATCCTCTTGAAGGTCTCAATGCTAATGAACGTGCTGCAGTTGCATGGTTATTTATAAACAAGAAGGTTGATAGGTAAGTGATTGTAGTTATAATGGATGTCATTGGTCATGTTATTTTGTGTAAGACACAATGAAGTTGGTTTGAAAAGAAATTGAAATTACAACATCCTTTTTTTGATTGCATGGTACAACTAATTGTATTGCATGTTAACAGGAATGAGATCGTGTTCAAAAAGGCATTCTGGTTGCAAGTTACACGTGATGAGATGGTGAGCTTAAAAGAAAAGTGCCATATTTCAGCTGTTGTACTAAATGCATGGTCTTTCATTCTCAATTTGATTGAAAAAGATAGAAGCAGTGATTCTCCTGCCCGATTATTTGCAAAGCCATACCCTTGTGTGAGTGCAAATTAAGAAAAGAGACAGTTTTGTGTTCAATTAAATTATATACACAAAATAATTGTTATATTTGTTACTAATGCAATTGAATTGGTGTGCATCTAGACACCCAGGTTGATCTTGGTTTAAATGATAAGGATGCATACACACTGTTTCAAGCAGCACTTGACTTTGGATGGGCATTGGTCCAACAACATACTGCAGTAGCACATATTGATCTGGTAAGGGTCAATATATGTAAGGGTCATAAAGAATTGAATATATGGTGTTATATATGTAAAAGTTCTAACACGAAAATGTGGTGCAGTTTTTTTTTTCAATAATGCAATATCATCACGCATACATCATATGTGTGAATACCAAGCTAAAACGTGTGGATATTCTCGATAGTTCATCAGCCGGGGTATCAAACGCAACCAAGTATGGAGACATGCCAGAAAAAGTGGTAATAAAACTTGATTTTAGTTATATATGTAATATATATATATATATATATATATATATATATTAATAATGTTTGTATTCTTACAACTGAGTGAGATTCATATAATAAAAGCTATTGTAAAACTGTGTTCCAGATTGGTATGTTTGTGAAATACTTGGAGTCAAAGAAAATGTTACAAAAAACAAATACAGTGCGCAAATTGAAGGGTAAGCAACTACCCATGTCTTGGAGAGATCCCAAAGATGTGTATGACTATGGGGTCTTGGCAATGCGACATATGGAGACTTATCGTGGGGAAGGGTTGCTGGGTTGGAGTATAGGATTGAACAGACAGGATAGCAAAGAACTTGGTGCATTAAGAAGAAAGTATGTTACAGCCATTTTACTACACGAAAGCAATGACCTTATGCAAGAAATCATGATGAATGCCAAACAATTTGCAAAGATAACTAAAGCAGAAAGGTTGAATGCAGCATAGAGGGGATTTGTTATCTCAAACATTTGGTTTTTGTTAAGATTGAGCTGAAAAATTTATTGTGTCATTTGTTTTTGTGTGGGTGGACACGTGTTGAAGTTCTTACATGAGATTAGTACGGAAACATATGTTAGGATGCATCGTATCAATATTGACTGTTTTGTGTGGGAATGTGAAATCCAAACACTTATGTTACGTGGAATGAAGTTTTATTTTCAGTTCATATGCATATTTATACCTTGTGTAATGCATTGCAATGAGCTATAGTGTGCATCATTTTGCATTTCTTGTGTATATAGTATAGCAGGACTATGCATCCTTACATGCAACTTCATTAACTGTAAGATGCACTCTGATGAGTTATAATATGCACCATTCATTTTTTTTGGAATATATAAAATATAAGCGCAGTCTAGTGTGTTAATAGTGTTAACATGAATTTATAAAAATGTTTCTTATAAAAATCCAACTTTGTGATGAATATGATTATATTAAAGATTATATGGTCTATAAGGTGATATTGAAGACTGAAATATGCAGTACATGGGATACAATGATGCATAAATGAGCATTAATGCAAATGGTAAATGTGCACTAATAAACCCAATGATAATAACAAAACTTTGAAAACATACACTACAAAACCAATAACATAAAACTATATTAATTTCCAACAGACAGTCGTCATTGTAATGTCAAACAACAAAAATTGCAAACATATACTTTAACTTCAAGCAAGCCTATTTATTCAAAGGGCAATTCCTACTATCGTGATGCCCCATCTCATTGCATGATCTACAAAGCCTTTTGGGGCGTTGGGATTCTTCCATTGAAACTTCCTTGGAAGACCTAAGCCTACGTCCAGAACCCTTATTTTTCGCCTGCTGCGGGGGATGAACACTGACTTCAGATGGCACACCAGAACCATAAAATGATTCAATTAATGAATTCTTTGTTGAACACTGACCAACACCTTCATGTAGAGAAAGTAGAATTTGCTTTTGATGTTTAATTATACCTGAAAATTGCTTCAAATAATTGGGATTATTTTCAACAAGGGCCATACAGGCATATATGTCAGACCAAAGAGTGTTAACAGACATCTTATTGTCCTTCAACAATGAAGTCTGTTCTAATACGGAATCCGAAATTTCAGTGAGTGGCTTCACTAGACCCTTCTTGAACCATCTGCTATTAACCAAATGGTTCGGAATGCATTCCAATTTCAAGTCCTTTAGAACAAAAAATATGTGTCTACAAACCATGCCAATCCGCTCATAATACTTACAACTGCACACTGCCTTCATATTTGACATGCTCAAGTCAACTCTAAACACCAAATTACGATCATCGGAAACTTCATACTCAAAATTACCATCAACACCATGCACATGCAAAACACGACATGAAAAGCACGCTGAACACAATTCCGACTGAATATCATAAAAGACAGTGAGTGTGAATACATCAGACGCAGCCTTCTCCATAGATAGAGTCTTCAAAACTGGAAGGTAGGACTCTGACTCTGAATTCAATTTATCTTGTGCATGCCTTTGTGCATCCATTGCACTCTCAAATTGCATTAAAATTCTATTAAACTGAAATGTGGGTTAGTAAATTCACGGAAAAAGGAATTCTCACTTTCAGACCGTGATGTTGTACGAAGTAATCCAGCCATAAATAGATCTCTAAAATAAGAAGGTATCCACCAATAGCGCAACTCAAACATATGGACAAACCAATCATGTTTTGTCAATTCGTATTCGTTCATGAGAGAGATCCACTTTTCTTCAAATTGAGATGGTTCAAGGTAATAACTCCAAACTATTGAATTCAATGAAGACATAAATGTTTCATTTTTGCTTAAAACTGGGCCAACCTTTTGAGTGACTTTGGACATAATATGCCACATACAATAGCGGTGTTTGGATGATGTAAATACCTTCTCAATGACAATACGCATCGTTGGATCTTGATCAGTAATAATGCATGTTGGTTGACGTCACATAGCATTTATAAAACGAGTAAAAAGCCAAACGTATGACTCCACATCCTCCTTCATCAATAATCCAGCTCCAAAAGTGACACACTTTTTGTGATTATCAACGCCCGTAAAAGGTCCAAACACCATATTGTACCTGAACATATAAGAAGGAAACTATGTTAAGCAACAATAAACTGTTTGGTGCATAAGCTAACAAAGAAATATGCAAGTTATCATGCTGTGTAGTGCAACGAAAACACAGAATATATAAAGTTGAATTCCCAAAAAACAGAATATAACAGAAACAAACTTATTCGTTCCATAGGTAGCATCAAATGAAACAACGTCACCA